GCCCAGAAATCAATGGCATTTCTATACACTACCAATGAGACTGAAGAAAGAGAAATTAAGGAGTCAATCCCATTTACAATTGCACCCAAAAGCATAAGATACCTAGGAATAAACCTAACCAAAGAGGTAAAGGATCTATACCCTAAAAACTACAGAACACTTCTGAAAGAAATTGAGGAAGACACAAAGAGATGGAAAAATATTCCATGCACATTGATTGGAAGAATTAATATAGTGAAAATGTCAATGCCGCCCAGGGCAATTTGCACATTTAATGCAATCCCTATCAAAATACCATGGACTTTCTTCAGAGAGTTGGAACAAATCATCTTAAGATTTCTGTGGAATCAGAAAAGCCATGGGAATATTAAAAACGAAAACCATGGCTGGGGGCATCACAATGCCAGATTTCAGGTAGTCCTTCAAAGCTGTGGTCATCACGACAGTGTGGTCCTGGCACAAAAACAGACACATAGATCAATGGAACAGAATGGAGAATCCAGAAGTGGACCCTCAACTTTATGGTCAACTAATATTCGATAAAGGAGGAAAGACTATCTACTGGATAAAAGACAGTCTCTTCAATAAATGGTGCTGAGAAAATTGGACACCAACTTGCAGAAGAATGAAACTAGATCGCTCTCTTATACCATACACCAAGATAAACTCAAAATGGATGAAAGATCTAAATGTGAGACAAATTCCATTAAAATCCTAGAGGAGAACACAGGCAACACCCTTTTTGAACTTGGCCATAGCAACTTCTTGCAAGATACAACCATGAAGGCAAGGGAAAGAGAAGCAAAAATGAACTATTGGGACTTCATCAAGATAAGAAGCTTTTGCACAGCAAAGGATACAGTCAACAAAACTCAAAGACAACCTACAGAATGGGAGAAGATATTTGCAAATGAGTTATCAGATAAAGGGCTAGTATCCAAGATCTATAAAGAACTTATTAAACTCAACACCAAAGAAACAAACAATCCAATCATGAAATGGGCAAAAGACATGAAGAGAAATCTCACAGAGGAAGACATAGACATGGCCAACAAGCACATGAGGAAATGCTCTGCATCACTTGCCATCAAGTAAATACAAATCAAAACCACAATGAGATACCACCTCACACCAGTGGGAATGGGGAAAATTAACAAGGCAGGAAACCACAAATGTTGTAGAGGATGCGGAGAAAGGGGAACCCTCTTGCACTTTTGGTGGGAATGGGAACCGGTGCAGCCACTCTGGAAAACTGTGTGGAGGTTCCTCAAAGAGTTAAAAATAGACCTGCCCTATGACCCAGCAATTGCACTGCTGGGGATTTGCCCTAAAGATACAGATGCAATGAAACGCAGGGACACCTGCACCCCGATGTTTCTAGCAGCAATGTCCACAATAGCCAAACTGTGGAAGGAGCCTCGGTGTCCATCGAAAGATGAATGGATAAAGAAGATGTGGTCTATGTATACAATGGATTATTCCTCAGCCATCAGAAACGACAAATACCCACCATTTGCTTTGATGCGGATGGACCTGTAAGGGGTTATGCTGAGTGAAATAAGTCAATCGGAGAAGGACAAACATTATATGGTCTCAATCATTTGGGGAACATAAAAATTAATGAAGGGGAATAAAGGGAAAGGAGAGAAAACGAGTGAAAATATCAGTGAGGGTGACAAAATATGAGAGGCATCTAACTGGGAAATGGACAAGGGGTAGTGGAAGGGAAGGTGGGCGGGGAGTGGGGGTGACTGGGTGATGGGCACTGAGGGAGACACTTGGTGGGATGAGCATTGGGTGTTATGGTATATGTTGGCAAACTGAACTCCAATAATAATAAAAGAAAACATCATGACGGAGAAGAGGTCACCCTCCCACAGTGGAGAAGGGGCTGGAATCTTGCTTCCAGAGCCAGTGTAAACCAGAAAGGGTTTGGGCTCCTAATTTGGAGTAAGGAGTTCAGGGCCTGGGTTCCTTTGAATCAGCACTTGGGGTGGGGGCGGGTGGTTCACCACTGAGTTGTGGTTCTGATGTGGTTAGGCTTTCTCCTGGCCTAGTACAGACTGTCAAGTTTGGCATTCCCTTTGTCCTCTTAAAATTCTTAACTACTATTTTGTTTTGTTTTGTATTTCTTTGCAATTCTGACACCTTCTAAGAAGATCTTCAGGGTATGTTCTAGGAAAGTAGGGCACTAGAGCAGAGATCCCAGAATATGGTTGGGGACTAAAATGACTTCTCTTGTGTCAGGAAAGCTCTATCCCAACTGTTTTTTCCTCTTAGGCAACCCTAGCTTTTACTGCTCTCACTTGGACCCACTGATGGTACTCCTGGGGACTGTAGTCTCTGATGAACAGAGTGCATCAGCATGGTCCTTCCGAGATGAACAGCACAGCCCAAAGACAGCTCTCCCCAGGGACAGCCTGCATCACCCTAGAGCCAAGAGGGGAGAGTGTGTCTGTCTGCATCTTTCAATTTTGGGAGGGGCTCCTGGGCCCTGGGTTCTTCTCCCACCTCCAGTTTTCCAATCCTTGTGCTCACCACTGTCTCCAGAACTTCCCAGTAGGAAAGGATTCTTCTGATCCAGGAAGCCTTGAGGATGCTTTTGATAGGTTCCAGGGCTGGCTCAGGGCTCCCTTCAAGGTGAGGGATCCTGGCTGATTACTGTGACTCCCCAGTTTATTCATGATGAACTGTATTTCTTAGTTCACAAACTGTCATGATTTTAGTTGATATTTCTAAGAGATTTGATATTGGCCATTTATTTCTAGATTTTATGGTGACTTACAGAAGCTGGTGTGTTTTTCAGATATGTCAATTATTCCTTCTAATTCTTCCCTCATGTTTTAAGTTTTAGGCCCTCATGATCTTTAAATTTGATGCACATAGATTTACATACTTTTCTCTAGCATATCAAATAATATTTTGATAAATAGACACAAAGTGAGTAGGAACATTTGTGTGATATGTTGGACTCTCAAACACAGACACTGAGAAAGCAAACAGCAACCATGCACATATATGAAACAGACTATGTACTAGCAATTCTGAAATGAATATAAATCATATTTTACTTCACACCTTTATGAACAGAAATCTGACTCAGGTGGACATTCCCTTACAGGAATGTAAGGGAAGGGTGCCTGGATGGGCCAGTCGGTGAAGTCACTGCCTTTGGCTCAGGTCAAGACCTCAGGATCTTAGGATGCAGCCAAGCATTGGGCTCAGGGCTCAGCACGGAGTTTGCTTCTTTGCTGTCTCTACCACCACCCATGTCTGGCCGCTCCTGCATCTCTTGCTTTCTCTCTTAAGAAAGAAAAGAAAGAAAGAAAGAAAGAAAGAAAGAAAGAAAGAAAGAAAGAAAGAAAGAAAGAAAGAAACTCTTAAAAAAATAGAGAATGGGGGATCCCTGGGTGGCTCAGTGGTTTAATGCCTGCCTTCGGCCCAGGGCGTGATCCTGGAGACCCGGGATTGAGTCCCACATCAGGCTCCCTGCATGGAGCTTGCTTCTCCCTCTGCCTGTGTCTCTGCCTCTTTCTATCTCTCTCTCTCTGTCTCTCATGAATGAGTAAGTAAAATCTTTAAAAAAAATAGAGAATGTAGGGGAGAATGAATGAATGAATGAATGATGCAGACAATGTCTTCACACAGGCGGTTACTCTATTACCCACATCCTCCTCTGGGGGAGGGCAGGTATCCCTAAGCCCTGGGGTCTGAGAGAGCTTCAACACCTCTCCACACATCATACCATAGTCTCTATGTGACATGGGGATAACAGACCCACCACCAGCCTTCAACCTGTTCTCACCCCTGACTTCACCTGTGTCACTCTGGCAACCCTGACTCTGTAGGCATCGCTCTCCATCTATCTGACACCCTGGACTATCCCTACGTGTCTCACAACCTGGAGTCCAGCCGGTTACCTCCCACTGTCCCACCTGGGGACACAAGCCCCTGCACCCTTCCTTATCTCCTCTGCTGTCATCTTCCTCCACCCCCGCCCCCCAATGTCCCTTTCTGGGTCTCCCCATCCCTAGTTATGTTCTAGGACGTCCCTTGGAGCTAATTCTCTAATGAGCTGCAGTGGGGATAGGCACAGCCGGGATGAAAAATCTCACAGTAAATGGAGGGGAGGTCACAGGAAGGCCCTACATTGGTCCCTGCTGGATGCCCAGGCCCTGCTCTGTCTCTGAACCCTGGGAAGGCTTCTCAGACTCTTCCTGTGTCCTGTCAGTCCTGCTCAGGAATGGCACAGCATCCTCACCCTCTGTGTCCTCCTCTGTGAAGATGTGTATCCCTCCCACAAGCTCCTGCTCACGCTCAGCACCTGGAGACAGCCCACTTCCCCTGAGCCCCTCCTGTGGGTACAGAGACCTTCTGCTCACTGTTTCCTGTCTTGTCCTCAGCTCCACAGGGGTTCCCAGACTCTCCTGGGTCAGAACTGCACAGGTCCCTCCTGCTGGACGCCAGTCCACAGAGGAAGCCTGATCAGAGACAGCACCCCAGGACCTCTATCCATCCCTGGAGAGTCACTTTCACATAGTGGGAGCACAGGAGTCAGAGAAGTAGGGGAAGGAGAGGCTGGCCTGAGGTGGGAAAGAAGGAGAGATTTGCTCAGAGACCAGCAGGGGGCAAAGTGAGATGGAGTTTGGGGGTTTCTGCAGGACAGGGGCTCCCAGCTGTGCAGCTCTCCACTAACAAAAGGTCCTGGGCCTGGGCCCTGGCTTTCAGCTGGAACTGGGCAGCTGTGCCCTTTCTGGGCCTGGACAGTCCCTGGACCTGGGTCTGTGTGTGGGTCCCAGCAGCTGCATCCTCCAGGCCCACCAGGGGGAAGCTAGTGCATCAGGAATCATCCTTGTCAAAGGAGACAAGACCTGTAAGTGCACAGGAGGGAGAGGCAGGGGTGGTCACATTTGCATGAGTGGCCCCTCCTCTGTGAGGCCCTGGGACAGGGGATAAGACACTCCAGGGGCAGGCCAGCCCCAGCTCTGTGGCCAAGAAGGGGCTGCGTCACCATGGCCTGGACCCCTGTCATCCTCGTGCTCCTCTGTCACTGCACAGGTAGGGACAGGCCCCAGTGCAAGAGGGGGGGACCCCAGCCTGAGTCAGATCCCTGTGGCTCAGCTCCTCAACCACATGCACCCTGTCTCTTGTCTTCATTGTGATGTGTGTGTGTCTGCAGGTTCCCTGTCCCAGCCTGTGCTGACCCAGCCGCCCTCCCTCTCTGCATCCCTGGGATCAACAGCCAGACTCACCTGCACCCTGAGCAGTGGCTTCAGTGTTGGTGGCTACTACATATACTGGTACCAGCAGAAGCCAGGGAGCCCTCCCCGGTACCTCCTGTACTACTACTCAGACTCAAGTACACAGTTGGGCCCCGGGGTCCCCAGCCGCTTCTCTGGATCCAAAGACACCTCAGCCAATGCAGGGCTCCTACTCATCTCTGGGCTGCAGCCTGAGGACGAGGCTGACTACTTCTGTGCAATCTGGCACAGTGGTGCTTATCACAGTGATAAACACAGATGGGGAAGTGGGACAAATACTTCCTCCTGCTCAGGTCTCTGGATGCTGATTCTCCTGCAATTTCAAATAACTAGAATGTACCTTGACTATACTTGGAAGCAGCTTTGAGATCACCATGTCCTTCCCCCCAGTTTCCTATCTGAAATAACTGAACTCTTGGGGAAAAAAGTTACTTAAAAAAACAAAGACACGGGATCCCCGGATGGCTCAGCAGTTTGGTGCCTGCCTTCGGCCCAGGGCGTGATCCCGGAGTCCCAGGATTGAGTCCCACATCGGGCTTCCTGCATGGAGCCTGCTTCTCCCTCTGCCTGTGTCTCTGCCTCTCTCTCTCTCTCTCTCTCTCTGTGTGTGTGTGTGTGTCTCATGAATAAATAAATAAAATCTTAAAAGAAAGACAACAAAAAACTCATGATGATACAGAAATTTTGTGTGTTGATTCAAGTATAAAAATCAGAATCTGTTGAGCTGCTTTTTCTTTTTCTCTTTGTAGAGGCAAATACACTTTCCTTAGGTCTCTGGTCAGACCCCAGGGGCCATCCCAGCAGGTGGACAGTCGTTCATCACTCTATTCCTCCAGGGCTCAGAGCAGAGACCTTCCCTTCCCTCCAGGCTCCTATGCTCAGGGCTGGCTGAGGAGCTATGGGTCTCAGGGTCGAGGCACTAAGATTGGTGCTGAGTGAGGACTCAGAACAGGAGACATTGCAGGCACACAGCTGGCCTGGCACCCTGGCTGGGTTTTGGCCCTTCGGTTGTGGTGTCAGGAGGGGATGGTTAGCCCTGGAAGAACATTGGGTGTCAGGGAGAAAAACTCTCTGTGGGGCTCGTGAGATGAGCAGGAGACTCCATCATTGCTACAAGCTGCTGAGTCTGCTCTAGGGAAGGTGGGGGAAGGAGATGCCCAGATGTGAGTGACCACAACTGACACCATTAGGATCATGGGAGCCTTCTGGGCAGGTTTCCTGAGCCCCCATGCATTGACTGTGTCCTTTTCCCTCTCCTGCCACATCAGGGCTCCTCAGTGACCCATGCAACAGGGGCAGGGGGGTACCAGTAGTATCTGTGCACAAAGCAAGTCCACCCCATGACCCTGTCCAGGAGGAAGCCCTGCCATTTGTGACAATAGGGAGGAGCCTGCAGGATGTTACCCTGAGTGAAATAACCCCTACACAGAAACACAAATGCTCTTTTCTCTCATTTATATGTGGAATTGATGGCAAAAAATAGTTTTAAAAGTTACTGTAAAGTTTTACTAATAAGGAGTTAGTAAAGAGTAGCACAAGTAAGGATGGGAAGGATATTTGTGTCTCTACAGCTCCTTAAGTATAGTTCTGATTTTCGACGTGACTTATAATTATGAAAATAAACACAACAGGAAATTTACTATTTTAATTATTCTTTATTGTACAATTTTGAGATATTAAATATACTCCCAATGTTGTGTGCCCATCACAACTATCCATTTCTAGAACTTTTCCTCACCCCAAGCAGTAACTATGCACCTGATAGGGGGTTGTTACCCTGGATTTGGCAGAGGGAGCCAGGGCTCCGGGAGCCCATGCCAATGCAGGAAGCGAAGCAGCAGAGCAGAGGGGGCCGATGTGGCCTGACCCCCTGAGATTGTTCTTTGGGCTGTGCTTCCTACCTCAGATTGACCATGTGGATGCTCGGTGCCCACCATGGGATGGGTATCCATATGCCCATTGCAGGGTGTCCAGTAATTCCAACTCAATCTCTCAAACTGTCATGACACATCAGTGAGGAGCTAAGGATCTCATCTGGGGCATCTGCTATATGATTCACGCATATTCCTACCTGGATCTCCTCCAAAATCCACGTCAGCTGTCTTCCAGAGACCTGGCAAAGGCCCTCTTTTCAGCCATGTCCCCCTGCTGGTCAAGGGGAACTTTTATTTATCTCTAAACATTATACTCTGTGGCACTGATCTATGTATCACTTTCTAGGCCAATACCATTTTGGTTACTATAGCTTTGTAATATAATTTGAAAGCAAAAAGTATTATGACTCCAGGGGATCCCTGGGTGGTGCAGTGGTTTAGCGCCTGCCTTTGGCCCAGAGCGTGATCCTGGAGACCCGGGATCGAATCCCACGTCGGGCTCCCGGTGCATGGAGCCTGCTTCTCCCTCTGCCTGTGTCTCTGTCCCTCTCTCTCTCTCTCTCTCTCTCTGTGACTATCATAAATAAATAAAAAATTTAAAAAAAGTATTATGACCCATATTTGTTTTTCTTTCTCCAGATTGCCTTGGCATGTTGAGGTCTGTTGTGGCTCCTTACAAAACTCAGGAATTTTTTTCTATTTCTGTGAAAAATGTCATAAGAATTTTCATAAGAACTGCACTGAATCTATAGATTGCTTTCGGTAATATAGACATTTTAACATTATTTTTGTTGTGGAAAGTACTCGATTTAAGGAGTTATATGTAGATTATGTGTGAGGTATAAGATGTATCTAAATGAAACCTATGTGTGTGGTTAAAAATTTGGTTGGATTATCATGGCCCAAATGAAAGAAGAGATGCAAGTTTTAGTCATAAGAGAAAGTAAATATTTGTATTTTTAAATTTGCTGACTTATTTTTTTAATTCAACATTTTTATTGAGGACCAAATAAGTATCAGCAAGGGATGTATAGTTAGTGCTGCGAAGAGCAAACAAAATTTTGAAGATCATGGTCACATTTGAGTTTTCAACTGACTCACTATGAAAGACACTGATGAAATGTTTTATGTGAAGTTCAGAGGAAACATTAAGCATTTGTAAGAATAGGACATACAATTCTGCTAAGGGAGAGTTGTTGGATAGAAGTGTATATATATATATATATGTATATATATATATACACGAGTGTGTATACATATACATATATATACATACCCATATCTTATGTGCTATTATATGTAATTTATATAATGTTTATGTGCTATTATATAATATATAATGTTTATGTAATTTATATAATGTCTTATGCGCTATTATATGTAATTTATATAAGGGAGAGTTGTTCGATACAAGTGTGTATATATATATATGAGGTGTATACATATATATATACACATCCATATCTTATGTGCTATTATATGTAATTTATATAGTGTTTCATATATACATGATATAAATCCTAGAATATATATATTTATATAATACTATATAAATATATATTATGTTTATTTTACTTATTTAGTATTTTAAATTATATAATTATTTTATTCATATAATTATAGTATATATAAATTTATATATATAAATATATGGACCCATATATATGTATATACCATATATGTTTATATATATATTCCTAGGATTTATATCATGCATATATAATTCCATTGTCAGTGCATAAATGGATTAGAAAAAAATCACTGGGAAAAATAATTGCATTAATATTTACAGCATGAGTACAACCATGTCTGGCACCTAGGAAGCACTAGAGAAGGATCTAGTGAGCAGTTAAAATACATACTGGACTGAGGAAAGAAGGCTTAGGGCAGCAGAAATGTCTGGATCATAAGACTGAGCAATGTCCTTGAAACTCCCACCCCTCTGCATGGGCGCAAATGTGCAGAGCCATCTGGATAAGCCCTGTGTCTGGTGCAGGTAAGCCATTGACTCCTGGCATCTCCCCTTAGGGCTGGCATTGCTGGCTGCATCCTGTGTTGTGGACCATCTCCTGTGGGTGCTCTTGGGGGGAAAGCAACATAAGAACTACAACTCACTGCTGTATAATTCTGGTCTCTTCTTAAAGAATTCCATGCACATTGTTATGAATGAGCTCTGTTCCCTCAAGGGCAGAGCAGAAGGAGGTGGGGACTGGCCAGCCAGGATGGGAAGTGACCTGACATGGCAGAGAGATTGGCTGTTCCCCTACCCACCTCATAGAACCTATGAAGGAGCTAGCATGCCCTCTGCCATTCTGCTTACTGGGGGCAGGGCACATCCTCCCTGAGGGGTCACTCCCCTGTGGCCTCAAGAACACACATCTAAGTGGTAGGAGGAGCCCAGGGTGATTCCTATTGAGGAGGCCACTTCTCTGCAGTAAAGACTGAGGTGTGGTGGCTCCTGGAGCACAGGAAGGAACCCCTGGGGAACAAGAAGCCCCTCCCCCTCTGCAGGGGTGGGTGGTGAGCCAGGCAGGCTGAAGTCCAGAGTGTCCCTCTGCTCAGCTCCAGGATGTCCCTCCCAGTCAGAGAGGAGCCTGGACTCTGAGACAGGAGGGGGCACTGTGGGCCTGTCCCTGGAGGTGGTGGTGGTGAGGTGTCTCAGCTGGGCACCCAGGCCTGGAACCCTGCCTTGTACCCTCTGCTCTGTGCTCACTGGAGCCCAGGAGAGGCTCCTCTGCCGTGCCCACATTCTCAGGTCTCCCCCAGTTCAGGGCCCCCAGGGAGGGAAGTGATGTGCATGAAGTGTTCCTCTCTGCTCTTCCAGGAGGATGAGGATAAGAGAGGCTTGGTGTAGGCCTCTCATCTGTGGGCTCAGAAGCAGAGGCTGGGGCATCTCCACCATAGCCTGGACCCCTCTCCTCCTCATACTCCTCACTCTGCTCAGGCTGTGGGAAAACAGGAGGATTGATTACGGGGTCTCCTGGGGTGCACCTTTCCCCTCTTTTTGAGAACACCCTGGGGGGTAATCCCCTGAGACCCAGCTGTGTGTGTCTCCACTGCTCCATTGCAGGGACTTGGACACCATCTGCTCTGACCCAGGAAGCATCCATGGGGATGCATCCATCAAGGTCTGGTCACCCTCACCTGCAGTGGAGTTAACGACAGTGTTGCAGCACATTATGTGCCCTGATACCAATAGACTTCTCACGGTACCCCCAAAACTGTGATATTTGGAAGTACTTGGCCCTCAGAGGTCCCAGCTTGGTTCTCCGGCTATTACTCTGGGATCACAGCCTCTCTGACCATCTCGGGCCTGCAGCCTGAGGACGAGGCTGATTACTTCTGCTTCATGAGGGATCAAAACATCAAAATGACACAGTGCTGCAAGCCCCTGGGGACCTGAGACAAACACCTTCCCCTGTTCCCCATGGTCATCCCCATTACCGCCTGTGACAAACAAACAAGGGGGAGACCCTGGAAGGTCTGAAGGTCT